ACGGATAATTGTCTCTTTTGTTAAGATGCAATCGGTTAATTGTTTGGCAATCTCACCTCCATAGTTTAATCGAAGGTTTGGAGAACAAGATCGTGTGGCCTTTTGCATGGTCCGGTCTCCTTTCGTTGTATCGTAGTTGGTCATATTGACAGGAAGACCTATAGAGACACACCTACTCCTTCATTATTTTTCCTACGGCAGTCTTCAGGATAGATGAAAATAGATAGCAAAGCAGGGCTTCTTAGCTATTTATTGTTGCAAGGTTTCAATCTACACTTTTTTATTTTTCGTTCATAAATATGATTTTGAGACTACCATTAAATCATTTATATGAGAGGTATTCACCCTATTTAGTTTAAGGTGTACCGGACTTGTGGTCCAATTTCCCCACAATGATGTGAATAGAGCTGACCTTTCTATTTAATTTCACGTGCCGAGATTACACGCTGCAGTGAGATGGTTTGACTCCCCCTGGTGGTGTTTATAAGACTTGGGCGAGGTCGAAACTGCACTCCTCCCTGGATGAGAACGCCTTTTGGGAAAGTAAGACTATGGGAAATTCAATGTAAATGTCGGCTTTATTCATATCATTATGGGAAAACTAAGCTACCTCTCCTTTATTACCTCAAACGAAATAAGGTGAATACATTTCATACACTCATTTTAGCCCTAGGCACTACCTGATAACTGTCTCTTTCTGATATCAGATCTTCTACATTTTCCATTCATAATGGATCATGCCCCATACTCAGCAGGACTAAAAGACTCTGTTTCTTCGTAGATACGAAGCTTAACTGGGTCTAACTTAGACTTGTTATCCTATCCATGAGTAGCACTTGTCCTCCTTTCGACGGTAAGTTTTACGTACAGACAAAAGGACTTGCGATGGAATCTTGCTTAGCTTCCACCTTGGCAAGCAGCTACATTGCTAACTTTGAGGAATTCTTATTGGTAGAGGCAATACTATCCCACAAATTGTTGGTTATATAGTTGGATGACTATTTTTTCATCTGGCCTCATGACAAGGAAAGCTTAGATAGTTTCCTGCTTTCACTTATCTAACGTGGAAGGAATATTGGCTTAACAATCAAAATAGAAAAGGATAGATCCTTACCTTTTTGTGGATATTCTGGTTGTTAGAAAAGAGGGTAAGTTAAGAAGAGATGTTTTCTAGTAGGCCAGCATATGTTGGCCTGAATTTTTTTTCCAACAATAGTTATAAAATTAAGGTTGGGATATTAAAATTCAATTATTTTTAGGAGCATGCTACTAGTGGACAGTTTCCATTTAACTAAAGAATTATAATTGCTAAGAGATTTATTCCTAAAAAATAATTATCCTGTGTTCCAAATTGAAAATAATATTTCTTTACTTAGGAAGTCGATGGCCGATTCCTATTGTACTGCGGCCGTTTGGCCCCATTATGGCGATTAGGTTGACGCAGTCCATGCAACATCCTCCCTCGTTTCAGGTGAAAACTATCTCATTTTTCGTCCATTATACAATGGGCATGAGGTAGAATGCTTTGAAGCGCATTGGTTTGCTAATTAGAATACATATTCTATTAAAAGGAAAATAAAAGGGATTATTAAACTTAACTGATTAGGGAATAAATTAAATGCGAGGAACGGTGGTAGAAATTGACTCATAACTACTTATGCTTGATTGATAGGTTGAAGGAGATAAAGCGTGTTGAGCCGCTACCCAAAAGAAGGTAACTCAGCTTGTCCGCTCAGTGATGATGCTAATTTCACTCACACTCGTCCAACATGTTAGATTAGAAGTGGGTTAACCGCGTCGCAACTTGGTCTTGTTGTCAGGGCGACTTAGTAAAACACACCGAGTCCGAAGTCGTCTGCCATAGTAGTTGTCATAATTCCTAGCATCAGACAGTGGGCTTGGTACATTCTTAAACGCTTCGCCGGCATCGTAGTCGGCATCATCAGTGAGTTTTGTCATTCTAGGACTGGAACCGAGTGAAATCTGTCAACCAGAAAGATAAAGAACGGGACCATGAGGAGATGTGGATTGCAGGCCCGAGTAGGATGAGAAGTTATGATAGGGCGGGAGTTTGATAAGAGGGTAAAGATTGTATAGATAGGCCAGGACAGAAAGAGGAGTGATAGTGTAACCGTTTTCGGCAAAACATTTGTCGAAGCATTGACTTCACTTGCCTCTTTGACGAGTTCGTAACTTGGTGCGGAGAATGACAAAACTCACTGATGATGCCGACTACGATGCCGGCGGAATGATTGAAAATGTACCAAGTCCACTGTCTGATGCTGTGAATCATGACAACTACTATGGCAGACGACTTCAGACTAGGTGCGTTCTACATAGTCACCATGACAACAAGACCAAGTTGCGACAACGAGGTCAACCCACTTTTTCCTATCCTTCCTGCAGAAATTCACAAATATTTTCTGGTTGCATAATGTGATGATGTGGTGTGCTCCTTTGAGCGACATGACACTCTCACACTCCAACTCTCATGCTCACCCCCCACCTCATCCTTGTGCAGGGAATGTTGGTCAGAGTATGTTTTATTATTATGCAGTCCTCTTTCTTAGTCTTATCCCAGTCTCCATCTTTCTCCGTAAAATCCGTCTGCTCTAACCCTTGTTCACCCATTTCACTCGAATTCTGCCAAAACATCTGTCCTACTCGAGGCTTTATTCGCCCTCACTTGCGTCTGGGTGACTAATTCGAGGCGCAACCTCTGAGTGTCATGGTCACTCCTTTGCTACATGTACCATGCCTCTGGTAAAACCGATCTACCGTCGACCAACTAGCTCCGATCCCCGCCGTCTCTATCCTATTTCTATTTCTAATACCAAGTCTATAATTTGCCATGCCCTAGTTTCTTGTGTGTCTACTCACAGATGTTGCGGTACAGCTTGCTTTGATTTGGTTCAATGTTGAACCACAACGTTTGTGTGTTGGCACACACAAGTAATAGGCTTGGTATTAGAGATAGAAAGAGGATAGAGACAGTGGAAGCTAGAGCTGGTTGGCTAAAAATAGTCGTGATTCCAGGATCACGTTTAAGATCAAACACGTCTATTGTTAGCCAAACAGCTTTAGTCTCCACCTCGTCTTTCCTG